GTTTGGCGTTGTAACGATGCAGACCTTCGGCTTCAGTTTTCCGAGAAGGGTAGATCCGAAGTTCGCCAGCGGGCCTGGATCCAAGTGTTCAATCACTGGCATTAGTGTTAGCGCTGCATTTCTGCGATTTGATGGGAGTTGCGACCACACCAACCTTCTGCGGAGACGATGATGTCGTGGTAAGCGAGGTTTTGAAGCGAGAGTCTCTCAAACGTGCCTATGAAGCATATTAGACCGCTGCAAAAGCACTCCGGCTGCGGAGGATCCCACCGTGTAGTAAAGTCAAGCCAAACTTTCTCCAGCGTCCCTCGTTTCCCGCCTGCACCCCGTCTGGGCCCAGGGTGTGCACCAGCGCCGGGTCATGCAGACTGTCGTCCATGTCGATCCCCGTAACCTGCTCGAGCGGCAAGTCGTCGTTCGGCGGGATCAGGCTCCCGAGCAGCAGACACTCGGCGCCGCAGCCGACATCCAGCAGAGACCGCAGCTTGCCATTGAAGCGAGGGAGCTTGTGTATCTGGGTGAGCAGGTCGAAGACGGCTGTGCGTCGCTGGAGGAACAGCGGGGGGTCGAAGGCTACCCTCGGGGGGTAGGGGGCGGAGTCATATCCTCAGGGTCCATCCTCGGGGGGGGTGGGGGGGGGGTTGGGGTTGGGCACGAAGGGTCGGTGTCGTGTGTGCAGCGGCGATGGTTATGAGATGGGCGAGGGGGCGGTTGTTGCGAGGAGGGGGAGAGGGAGAGGGGAAGCGGGTCCTGGATGTAGAGATCGAGAGCAGCTGCAAGCGATCGCTCGCCGCACGCCCGTTGCGCCACGCCGTGTGTATAAGTACTTACTGTACTGCGCTGCGGCAGCCCTCCAGCGCTGCCGAGACGAGGGTGCGAGCAGGCAGCGCCGCACGTGGCACGCGCCAGCGTGGCCTAGGACCGGGGCAGATGTGCCTGCGGGGGCCAGGCCGGAGTGTAAGGCCAGAAAAGCCGAGCAAAAAGCAAAACGGCGCCCCACAAAGAAATCGACAACGGGGCGGCGCCCTGCTGCGCTGTACAAAGGAGCGCACGCGTTCGCTCGCTCCCTTCCCGCCCGCCCGCCCCCACCCTCATCGCCTTCGCAGACAAAGCGAGCAGCTGCCTGCACATGGCAGCCGCCTCTTGCTGCGTGCCTACATTGGAGGCAAAACGGGGGCCACACCAGCAAAATGTAAAACAGTAAATACCGCACACGCACGGGAAATGGCTGACGTGCGTATGTATGCAACGCAACGTGCTGGCCTTGCTGGCCTTGCCCGCCGTTTGCGTTTCGAGAACGGAACGGCACCTGGCCTGAGCTGTGTGTGCCGCCACCGCATTGGCCCGATCGCCAGAAAGCCATGATCTTCCCCCCCCCCGGAGCGAGCCGCCTCAATCCCCGCCATACATAATCCCTGCAGAAATGCGGGGGCCAGGGTTGGTGCTCAGCACTTATCGATATAGTATGATACGCTTGCTGCGCTGTGGCGCTGCCGGCTTTTCATAGGGCTGCGGACCGTGACAAACAGCAGCATGACGCCAAGACTAGCCCCCTTTCCCCCTCCCTAGGACGCCCCAGTTTGCCAAGGCCAGCGCACACACCGAGTTAACTACCGGTCTTGGCAAGCCTCTTAGCGCCAGTGCACGTGTATTACGCAAGGGCACGTGATGATTCGTGATGCTAACCTCAACACCACAGAGACTGCATCAGGGTGATAAGAGTAGGACATATTAATATATCGAGTATGTTATATGGAAGAGCTTTTCCTTACTGACCGACAGTGCGGGGAGAAAGAACAATCAGCCAAACACATATGGAGAGAGTGCAGAGTATATACGTCTAACTCTTTTGCCTGTCTATCAATTTCCGCTTTATTCTGTACCCCAGTAGCTCCTATCTTCCTTCCCAAATATGATAACCTAGCAGCCTCAGACCTCTTTGCCCTATTATTTTTCTCTATATTTTTTTTTTTTTTGTGCTTCTTTGACTTTCTGTGGATTTGGAAGCTAAATAAATAAATAAACTCTTAGTATATATGTAGTATATATATTACCCAAAAATATATATTTACCCCTCTGTTCCCAACATAGCTCTATACGGCATTGCTGGGCAAAAGGTAGGCTGAACTTGCAGTGCTATAGTTTGAGTAACTCTCTTAGATGCTTGATGTAAGTATTTTTTCTTTTTTGCTTAGCTGACTCTTTAGCTGATTTAGTAGTTCGCTTTTTGGAAGGCATAGTGTTGGTGGTTATATTGTATAGTGTGCTGCTGGGGTTATTGTGATTGTATTAAGAGGTTGATGTGGAGTGCGCACACAAAAATTTAACAGTGATAGCATGCGCGGTGGTTAATGCTTGCACAGTAGTTAACTACTGCAGCGACTGGTGTGTGCGCTGTTTTACCTGGCCTTGGCAAACTGGGGCCGGTTTACACGTCCCCCTTTCCCCCGCACAATGCGAAGCTGATGTCACCAAGCATCGTGAATCAATGCACGCCCGTGACGTGTGTAGCGAGGCATTGTGACCTCACCGCCCTGCACGCTGCGCCCTACCTCGCTGAAGCCCCTTGAATTATCATCGCACGGAAGAAATTGTCGTGTCTACCTACAATTCATCGACCCCCAGACGCCGGTAGCTCATCTCCGCTTGCACGAGCGGGCAGTTTGTGCCTCTCCGCACCCGCAGCTACTATCCTCACCCAATCCCACTTCACCTCAGAAGTTAATACAGAATGGACACCTCGATTCCCTCCGCGCCCAGCGATCTCCCGCACTCACCTACCCTCCCACCACCCTACCCATCCTCACCAAACCCACCTCCGCCAAACCCCGGCACCACCGACGATATGCTCCTGCGGCACGCGCAGTACGCCCGAATCCGCTACGGCGTCTGCCTGGGCCTCCTTGCGGTCTGTCCTATCGTCGCCATGCTCCCCCCCGCAAGCTCAACCTCTACACCGTCGGCCTCGCCGCCGTCTACGTCTACGCCCTCGACGAGGTCATCGGGCAGAACAACAACAGGATCCCCTGGATGGCGCCGTCGGCGGTCCCGGCGAACCTGGGGGCGAATTATACCCCGACGCACCTGAACGATCAGAAACGGAGAACCGCGTATGCGGAGAGGGTTCGGGCGAATGTGGGCGATAGCGAGGAGCATGGGAAGAGCATCAGCGAGTTGCTGAAGGATGCGGTTTGGGGGGCGTATACGGAGCGCAGGACGAGCACTGATGATGATGGAACAAGGAGTGGAGGTGGTGTAAGGCGTTTTGTGGAGGAGGTGGTTTTTGACACGGATGGCACTGGCAGAAAGGCGAAGGATTAGGAGCAGTTTCGCTTACGAGAAAGACTCGGAGTATTGATGTTGGTACGAAGTTGTGTACATATATGTAAGTTGAAGCATACCGCCAGTCACCTCTAATCCTCACTCTTTTCTCTCTTGGACATGTACTTAAAAACAAAGCTACGAGAAACAAAACTACAATTCTAATCTCCGCCCATCGGCCCTCTCTTATCCCCACCATCGCACAAAGTACCCCCAAACTCTCAACCCTCCTGAAACTTCCCGCCAACCACTCCCCGACCACCGTCTCCGCCCACTCCCCCGCCGCGCTCTTCAACCTCCTCCCATGATCCGTCTTCTCCAAATTCCACTTCAAGAACCCAATCTTATCCCTCGCCGGAGCCCCTAGCCGCCCCATCACCTCCTTCCTCTGCTCCGTCGGCGACTTTCCAAATCCCCCGCCAAACAACCTCATCCCGGGGAATCCGGGTGCGGAAACTGCGGGTGCGAGTTTTCGTTTCCCCTTGCGGCTCTGAATCCAGCTGCTCCCGCAGTGCCGGGCGTCGACATTCGGAATCCTGGGCCCTCTGCTGAAGACGGTGTCTGCGGCATGCTGGGCGTCCATATCTCATACGGTCTCGCGACATTCTCCCACCCAAATTCGCTTTCCCACTCTCCCCTCTCCTCTGCTTCCCTCCTTTCCTCCTCCCTCTCCCACCACGCCTTCAGCCCCGGCAACGGGTTATCCGGGTCCAGCACACTCACCGGCTCCAGCCTGCTCTTCGGAAACGCGACCGGGTCCAGCTCCACGAGATCCGGCGACGGCACCCACGGCACCTGATCCTTCTCATCGATCTCAGCCGCCGATCTGCGCTGCCAGGCTTCGTGCACACCAATCTCATCCCAATTTGTGCTTCCGGCTGGCCACGTTTCTGGACTTCCGCCACTGGGCAAATCCGGTGTTGTGCCATCACTCCCGCCCCACCTCCATCTTCCGGGTGTGTCCACCGGGCGAGCCATAGCTTCGTGAATGGTTATAAGAGCATGAAGCGACATAAGCCAACCAAGGAATGCCCCCATTTCTCGCTAGTACTTTTAGTTGGTTACCAAACGTCGTAGATACCCCAGATACTTTATATATATACCAGTAGCCTCCCCTTCTCCCCGCGGTACAAGGAAGTTTATAGCTATCCCCATCCATTCTTTTTTAAAAACGTTAATTCCTCCCATCCCACAAAGCCAAAAAAAAAAAAAAAAGTTTCGACGATACATATGGTGGGAAGCTTATTACTCCATCCGTCCCACAACCTCATGATATCATATTATGGTTGTTGTTATGTACTTGTGATGCCAATATAGGTTTGGTGATCTGAAAATGCAGACTATAGAAAATTCTCTATATCCATGAACTTGTGCGGAATTACAAGTTTTGATTTTATGTTGGACAAATGCTAATAGTATGGCTCGATTAACCTTGCTTGAGCTAATTGAAACCTAAATATCTCGCTTCCCTATAGCCTCGTCCTTAGTTAGGGCTTCCCTAACAAGGAATGAAGTCTGTATTTAAAAAACCCACCTGCCTCAGGCTCCCCTTCTTTTCACCAACCCATCATCTCAAAATACATATCCCAAACCATCCACACAAAAAGCATAAAAGGAAAAAAAGCGAGGACAAAAAAAGAACAAAAAAGGAAAGCAGAAACTACTACTTTCGTGCTTTGCACCCGTCACGAGGATCGAACTCGCAACCTTCGGCTTAGGAGGCCGACGCGCTACCATTGCGCCAAACGGGCTGGATGTTGGTTGATGCTTTCCAATTTAGGTCTTGTTTTTGTGGGTGCTGAGGTAAGTTTAGACGGTATGCTTGTTGGCAAACCTTTTTCCTAGGCTGATGGCGGCAATGTACAGTAATATGAGTTTCAAACTTTGATTAATCCATAGATCTTTTGTGACATGTAAGTATATACAGTACAACGCAGTATACTAGGGCAAGGGTCTTCTGGAAACTGCCCAATGATTGTATTCAACGGAACGTCGATTTTGATGCCCCTTTAATCTCTAAATCAGTCTCGTGCCAGGCCAAAGATGAATGTGACTAAGGACGGCAGGTACTGTTGCTCAAGTACGCATGAACCCCAGGCTTGGCGTTGATTGCTTGTCTGCGGCGTGCAGCGATCGGCGGCACCCCTCGCTGGACTGTGCTTGGCGGGGCCGTGGGTGCGTGGGATGCTCCGTACGGGGCCTGGCGACTGGCAAAGCTGCCGTCTGTCTTGCTGACCCAGAGATTATCACCCTGCCCACCCAGCGCCCACCCGTCCCGCCCTCGCCCCTTTCTCCCCACTTCACAGCGCCGAATTCCCATTCCCCAAATAGCCCATTTCCGCCTACAATACCTGCGAATACCCCTCAGAAGCCCTGTCCTCAGCTGCTGCACATAGCTGCTTGCGAAATGTACTATCCGCAGTCTCCAGTTACTACTACCCTGACGACAGTCACGGTAGAGAAGGCCATCCATGCAATTGAAACTGCTGCTGAGGAAATCCCGGTAAGTCTTTTCCATCTGGGGAATATCTCTACCGCTGGACCCCCATCTCTAATGCACTCTCCGCAGGCGGATGATTTCATTTCGTATTCAACAATCCTAGATGTCCACCTTTCATACGCTCTTGAATTCTTCACCCGAGAGGAGCAGAAAAGGCTCTTGGACTCCCTGCAGAACATTCTCAAAGAAAATGTGGTCCCTTAATCCTCTGCTACACTCGTCGAATGCCCATTAACTGTCCTTGTCATATACAGGATGACCTGGCTCGCAATATCGCTTGGGACTTGATCTCCGTCCTTCTCCCGTTCTTGGATGCACCCCCCGCGACAGATTCGGTCTCACCAGCTCAGTTCACAGGTGATGGATTGACGGACGCTGCATCAACATGTCTTTTCATCGCGGCACACAAAGGAAACCCCCGGGAGGTCTTTCTCAAACTACTTGCCGCTCTCTCCTCTCTTTCTTTTGTTCCATCATCCTCCGGAAGCCCTCCATTAGAGGAAGGCACCGCCGAAGAGCCACCAATGACACCTACAACTCCACAGAAAACACCTGCGGAAGCTCGCGCGAATGGACATCGGAAATTAAGAATTCTGATAATGCTACTCACGACAACGCATTCCAGAATAACGACTGTGTTTCCGTCACGATTTCTCAGCCAAAGTCTGACAACGCTGCTGAGCACCTTTACTCGGTGTTTGGAAGAGTTGGATAGAGAGGATGTAGAAGATATTGTATCACGTCTTGTAGCTTTCATTGATTCTGTTCAACCAACTGGGACAAAAAAGACTAGACGCATGACGGAACCTCTGTTGGGTCCCGACGGCAGGCCTACTCTGCCCCCACGATCCAATACCGCAGCAAGTGACCTCACTGCTCCCGATGTTTCAAAGCTTCAGCTTGAAGACGAAGATGATGAAGCGAGAAAAGAAAGGTTGGAGAAGGAGGAGCAGGCCAAGATGGAAGAAGATTTGCAGATAAGGCTCCTGCAAAGCTTCTTATCTCATGTAGTTGAGGTTTATATTTTGAGATGTCCTTCCCAATACGCAACAAGAAGCAGTCCGAGACAGCCATCAGATACAGAAGCTGCCTCCGAACGTGGTATCAGCCTTCACCTGGCTTCTCGCTATATGAAGAGCGGCAAGTTTATTTCAGGAGGGGTAATTGAGTCGGAGATTGTCAATGCAACCCCACCCGTTTGGAAGGAGGTATTAGACATGGCTTATCAATTGAGACTGCTCACCAAAGAGTTGCAAGAATTGTGTTACTCTTCTACTAATGAGCAGGAGTCAGAAGAGCCGGAGGAGCCTAAATCGCCATCTGGAATGCTAGGATCCATCCCTCAATTTGCAGAAGATATTCCACTCTCGAAAATTGGCAGTCTGATACTGCTGGCCTCTCGTATCTTTGAAAAAGAATCAATTGTCGATTGGAAAATTAGGTTGTTTCCAGAACACAGAACGATCGTCTACAAATATCTCACAAAAGGGGATGGCACTTCAGAAATTGGTGTATTAGATGCCGTGCTATTCTTGGGCGCTTGGGCTTTGTCTTCTGAAGGAGGAGGATTCGGTGAGGTACCGGATGGGCAAGCCGAAGATGGTGAAGAGGGATGGTTGGTATATCTACAGGTATAATTAATTGATTTCATTTTTCTTTTCACTTAACTAACTTAATTCAGGCCTTCGCATTGCTCTCGGCTACATCTACATCCCCGTTAATTCGATTACTTGCCCACAATCACCTTTCTCAAACGATCCACTCGCATCCTGATGAAGCAGTTCGCTTATCTTATATCAAAGACACACTCGAGCACTGCCCCTTCGAGAGTCTGAAGGCTAGCATGATCGGAATTCTGAAAGATGAGATAGCAGCTGCTACTGCTACTGGCAACGATAAGCCAAGCATTTTTGCTTCTCCGCTAGTGCTTGAGGAGCTGAGCATGTTTTTGTTCCCAAATCTTGCCAGCATCCTAGACGCCGAAGGGGATGATGCGGAAAAATGGGACTGGTTTGCAGAAAATTACGCCGTGATTATGGCGACGGGGAATTTGTGGTTGTTCTTGCTGATGCGAGAGTTTAAAGGGCAAAAGGGGGTATGTGGCATTGACCAATGGGGCGAAAGGATCGAGGAGCGATGGGCAGGTAGGTTGAAGGGATGGCTGGATGAAGTTACTGTCACTGAAGATGGGAAAGAAGCAACGGAGAAAAGAGGAGTGGACATGGATGTTGATATCGTGAAGGACTTGCTGCGGCGGGTGGAAGAGGTGAGGAAGCAGACAGGGGTGTAGTTAGATCATTATGCTGCATGTGAGGATTTATGTGTTGATTGGGTATAACTGTCGTCCCAAAAAGGTCGGATGGGCATATTCTATTTTTATCATCATCGGAGGAATCTCAGAATGATCGCAAAGAGAAAATGATCTGATGTCTTCCTGATTCTTTGATGCTTGTCATTTCCCCCCGAAGATGCGCTCCAAAATTCATCTGCTGTACCTATGTTATTAATTTTTTCTTTTTTTTTGCCGCGCTATTGGCATGCTGAATGACGCTTGCAATGCGGCCAATAAACAATGATTTGAGGGTTTCCACTTGCAGGGGAGCGTTTCAACTCACCGCCGAGGCGGCGCACGTCACGTGCAGACATTTTCATTGGTCCACGAATGCAGCTGCATCCGGAGCTTGTTGGGTTTGCAGCCGCCGAAAACGACGAGCGGAGGGGGCGCACGCCGGGGCGCCAGGGTCTGCGTGTGCTGGACTTGCCTGTCGGCCGTTTGCTCATCGCTCCCTGCTTGTAACTCCCCCCCTCCCAGCGCCCGCCCGCCCGCACGCTTCCTTCCCTTCTTTCCCTCCTGCCTCCACCTGCCCGCCGCCGTTTCGTCTGGACTTGCTTGCCTTGCTGTGTTGTTGTAGCCTGAGCTGCACTGCTGTTGTGTCCCCTGCTGTTTAGCCTGTTGCGCCCCCTCACCCCCTCACCCGCAACCAGCTGCTCTTAAGCTCAGCGTCCTTCCTACTTCTTCTTCTTCTTCTTCTTTTTCTCCTCCTCCTCCTTACCCCCCCTCCCCGTCTTTCTTTCAACAGCAAGCGATAAACTTCCCTAAAGATGTACCATACACATGCAGCACAGACTACGCTGACCCCCTCCCAAATTGCTATGCAGCAGCTCGCACAATACGACCGTGTGGGTGAGTACGAGTACCGCAGCCCCCCGACTGCTTCTTCCCGCATTTTCCCCCACCCTTCTGCTACAAGCTCCCGCTCCCGCCCCGAAGATTTATACCAGCGGGTGGAGCATTCCCCGCAGCTTGTTTACCAAGCGAATACCCTTTCCCGACAATTTGGAGCGCCGGCTCACCAGTATGGTTCATCGGCACTAGGGCACGGGCACTTGGTTCCTCTCAAGTCCACCACTACTCCGCCGCAGACGACGAGCACGGCGATGGTTCTTGCGGGCCATCATGCGTCGCAGCAGCAGCAGCAGCAGCATCACCAGCAGCTGGTACCCGTCTCGCTCGCTCCTCCGCCCCCGCCGGTTGTCGCGCCACAGCCGACAGCGAACATCGTCAACGCAAACCCAGTCCCCACTACCTCTAGCACTCCGCCGATCCCCTCGACCGTAGCCCCTCCGTCCGAGGCTGCCAACACGGTGAAACCGGCCCCTCCCTCCACCCCGCACAGTAACACAATTCTGATCCACATCCCCTTGATCCCCACGCCGTTCCGGATCGCCATCGAAGGCACCTCATCCGCTCCGTATAGCCTGACCGACAAGATTAATAATCTGCTGATGAACCAGAGTATCCAAGAACGGATCCAGAATGCGTTGAGCGTTCCGAAGCCGAACGGCTGGATCCTGGTGGAGAGGGTTAATACGGAGTTTTTGCAGCTCAGGGATTTGCTGGGGGCGATTAAGGATGGTAGGCTGATGACGGATGGTGTCATCCCGTGGGTATGCGCGGGTGAGCTGGTTGAAGGAGGTGTCGGCTATTGGTGCTTGGGTGTTTGCACCTAAACCCGGTGTGTGAGCGAAAGGTTTCAGATGCAACAATTTGCTTTTTCGTTTTTTTCAAAAAACACATTCCGGTCATAGGGCATGGTCAGTCAGCATGGAGCAAGCATATATACAGCATGTGTTTGTCACCCCTTTACGTTTCTGTTTTATGATTTTATATTTACGTACTTATGTTTGTCGGTTGAGTTTCTTAATCACGAGAGGTTGGTTCTGCATGCATGATGGGAGGGGTTGTCATTG